ACATAAATCATGCTCTCATTTTTGCTCATTTTTTTTCGATATTTATCATGGGTTGTATTTCAATATATGTTTGTACCATGTTTGTGGTATGTTAAAAGAATGTACAAGTTTCTGTACAAGGCATAATAATAAAGAATTTGAACAAAAAACACAGTCAAATTACATTTCTTGCGGTCGAGGTTTCCCGCCAAAATTTTGACCTTGAACAACATTACATTATTGAAATCAAATTTGAATTCAAACTTCGAAATTTGATTGGATTATTGATCGGATTTTTCGGCCTTATAAAAAATGTCGATTTGATTGATTTTTACGTGGCTTTATTTGAGGATTTGATTTAGGAGTCGGCACCGATGGTCCCATGAAGTGATCGCGAGTTTCAAGGTAACGCTATTTGAGCTTTGATTACAAGACAAGTATAGGGTAAAATCATTGTGTCTTTCAACTTATTTTGCGGCCTCTAGGATGAGTTTCATGATGCAAATATGATCTCAAACCATACCTTAGAAAGTATACTTAATGACTAGGAGTCGGCACATCAGCGAAAGCTTTTTATATATCGAAATTTTACTTTATGTTTATTTTCTTTGTATTCTTGAGGGACATATCAAAATGCAAATTTGACTGAAGTCTAAAAACGTGACGACAGAGGCAGACGCTATTGGACACAGCGCGTAAAGGATCCTGGGTTTAAATTTTGACCAATCATGTTGGTCCATTTCGAATTTCGCGGGAATCTCAAAGGCGGAGAGGCCGCCGGACCAGGACTCGATATGTGTGTACAAAAATGCGTTTTTAAATGAATTTTGAAGCGCTGTTTGACAAAGAACACAAGAAATCGGTAGTATATTTTATACTTTTGTGGATGTTGTAATATTTTCCTGATGTATTTTTGCTTCATAGCGAAAAAATAGCTTTAAAAYTTTTGTTGTCTTTTTTACCAACGACAAGTCGGTAATTTTGACATTGCCAGACGTTTTTCATAGTTGTGATCGAAATATTTAAAGTGCGGGTACGATGAAAACCGAACATCGAATTTGAGCTGTTTTTGTACATATACCTCTTTATGAAGATCCAAATAAGTATTTCTGAGATTTCTTTATCGATACATCATTGAAAAGCACGAGAAATCGAGCTTTGAAAGTCGGTTTTTTCCTATCCGCCATTAATCTGAGCCGAAGTGACATCGGTTGGCGGTTTTACCCAAACGTGAAGCATATGACGTCATATGCTTAACCCAGGATCGAGGTTGTCCTTCAGACATACAAAACTTAGAGGAAATGACTAAGATAGTCAATTCAGGCATGTCTAACGCATAAAATTAAAGTATATAATAATAATATAGTAATAGTAGAAGGGCTTGTTGACATGTTGCTGACATATTCTTGACAGAAATGGAACAGAATTTAACCTTGTAACTTCGTAACTTTGTAACTTCGTAACTTTGTAACTTCGTAACTTGTAACGCTATTTCCAGGG